GGGTTTAGGGTTTAGGCGCTTCGTGGCTTCGATCTTGTAGTCATCCGAAAGCCACGAGCCGTAACCAGATCGTAGCGATTGGCTCTGAGCTCAGCCTAGAAATCCTGGAGCCTTCCACTGAAATCCAAAAGTAACCCTGAACCCCTAAACCCGAAATCCTAAACACTAAACCATAAGCCCTAAAGCCTAAACCCTAAACCATAAGCCCTAAAGCCTAAACCCCTAAACCCCTAAACCCCTAAACCCCTAAACCCCTAAACCCCTAAACCCCTAAACCCTAAACCCCTAAACCCCTAAACCCTAAAACGAGGTCCAAAAACCTTTACAATAGAACCCTTCTAGAAGCCCATGGGTCAAAGACTCATACCAGCTTTGCAAGATTCCTAGACAGCCCTAAACCCTAAACCCTCAACCCTAAACCCTAAACCCTAAATCCTAAACCATCCCTTAACATCCGACCGTAAGACCGCTTTAACATCTCGAGACATCCCCCTTTCCAAAAACCCTAGCCCTCGTTTAGGGTTTTAGGGCTTAGGGTTTTGAGGGCATTAGAAGTTTAGGGTTTAGGGTTTAGCCACCATAAATGTCAAAATCGTTATACTCATGCACCTCTACAACCAGCACCCCAAATCCCGTATAAACGTCCGATAAGATTGTTGTGATACCTTCGTCCAGCCTCAACTGGGGTCAGGAAACTAAGAGAAAAAGAACTCCAAGAGATCCTTCAGGGTTTAGGGTTTAGGGTTTGGGGTTTAGGGTTTAGGGTCAAGGGAACTTCTTACAGTAATACTGCAGAGAACCCTTGAAGGGAACCGGATCCCGTAAAGGAACCCTAAGCCCGAAACCCTGGCCCTAAACCCTGAACCGCGAACCTACAAACTCTAAGTCCTTCAGCTTAGGGAATCTTCTTGGGAACCTTTAGTAGGGTGGAGCCATTGAAACAAGGTACACCGAATTTCGAGGTAAGGAACCCTCGAAAGAACCCTTGAGCGAACCCTTAAAGGAACCCTTGAAGCAACCCTTGAAGGAGCCCTTAGAGGAACCCTCCTTCAACTTGAAGGAGCTCTTGAAACCCTAAACCCTAGACCCTTTGTAAGGGGGGCCTCGGTCGTGATTTCACAATAACCGGAGGCCAAGTCGAAAATGCCCTGGTGCCGCTTTCGGATGCGCTTTAGGGTTGACGCCGTGAGGTCTTTAGGGTTTAGGGTTTAGGAGTGGGATGCAGGGCTTCAGGTTTAGGATTGTTGATTTCGGCCCTAAACCCTAAACCCTAAACCCTACCGGCTTCAGGCTTAAAGGTTCAGGATACGGGTTTGCGGCTTTGGATTTAACGCGTTTCTCGCTGTGTTTCTCGTGAAGCCCCGAGACCACCCTCTGAGCCCTCCAAAAACGAGCATTCAATCCTACGGTTTAGGGTTGAGGGTTTAAGGTTTAAGGTTTAGGGTTTAGGGTTTAAGGTTTAGGGTTAAGGGTTTAGGGCCGCAAAGCCTTAGCCTCAAGCCTAACATTCCCACAAGCTTATGAAGCCCTTCCTGGGCACCCGATAACAGCTTTTCGAATCCGTACAATAGTATAGATCCGCGTTCGAACCTTCTAAAAACCCACGACTCCCGTAAAGCTTTAAGCCCTATGAAACCCCCCCCAATCGGCCTGGTCATGACAAGCCTGCCGGTAGATCAGCCGCTCTTCAGAGGTATGGTCTACCTGAGATGTATAAGTGCTTCTATGAGGTTTTTTCAGGGGGAATTGGGGGCTTTCCAACTTTTTGGCCAAGGTTTTTAGGGTTTAGGGCGGGTTTCCACTGCCCTGAAGTCTCAGAAGCTATCCGCCTTGTCTCACATGCAAAGACTTCGTCCTCCCAAACCTGGCTCTTCGTAGGGCATGAGCCAAAGGATCCCTACGATAGTCCCTCGGTTTAGGGTTTAGGGTTTAGGGTTTAGGGTTTAGGGTTTAGGGTTTAGGGTTTAGGGTTTAGTTATTCCCCCATTCCCTACTCAGACCCAGGGGGAACCCCAAAACCCACAGGCCCTGGACCTAAACAGGGACTTCATGTAAGTCACCAGAATGAGGAAAACCCTATTATTACTATAGATGCCTATTATCAAGGCACTTAATTGAAGTCACCATAATCAAGAAACCCGATTATCACTATAGATGCCTATTATGGCGGCACTTAATTGAAGTCACCATAATCAGGAAAGCCGTACTATTCACTTTAGAGCCATATTATCAAGGGATTTAATTGAAGTCACCATAATCAGGAAAACCGTATTATTCACTAGAGATCCATATTATCAAGGGATTTAATTGAAGTCACCATAATCAGGAAAACCGTATTATTCACTAGAGATCCATATTATCAAGGGACTTAATTGAAGTCACCATAATCAGGAAAACCGTATTATTTACACGAGATCCCTATCCTTATGGGATTTAACTGAGCTAACCATAATCAGGAAAACCTTATTGTTTACACGAGATCCCTATCCTTATGGGATTTAACTAAGCTAACCATAATCAGGAAAACCTTATGGTTTACACGAGATCCCTATCCTTATGAGATTTGACTTAAGTTAACCGTAATACCCTGTTATTTACTGTAGATCCCTATCATTATGGGATTTAACTTAAGCTAACCATAATCAGCAAAACCCCGTTACTTACTGTAATTCCCTATGATGGTAACTTACGCCAACTTCCCTAAGAAGAACCCGGCATCCTCTCGGCTTGTCGTCCCAGGCACAAAGACTTCGTACTCCTTGACCCCGATTCGCTCGATGAGTTGCGAGGAGCTCTGCCTGATCAATCTGCAACCCTCCCGTTTTATGGAGTCCCGCTCTACTTCTGCG